GATGTGAAAAGAAAGCAGCGAAGCAGACAGAAAAAATGACTGGTAAGGGAGATTCAAAATCAAGAGAATGTAGAATCCTTGAAATCAAATAGAGGGAAAAGTTTTTCAAAGAATAAAAATTGGATATCACTACCAATCTTATAGATGTTAGAATTTAACCAGTATACTATGACTAATTTGGTATAATAATTTAGATGAAATGTTTAAACTCCTTGAAGAATATTACTTATAACCAAACAAAGAATAAATAAAAAACCTGGAAAGGTTTATATCCATTATAGACTTAAATCTATAATTAAAATCCTTCTCTCAAAGAGAACTCCAAATCCTGATGACTTCCAGGGTTAATTCTTCCAAATATTTAAGGAAAAAATAGCATCAATAACTCCCATATAAAATTTTTTCAAGATAATAGGAAGTTATTTTATAAGGCTAGCATAACCTTTATACAAAAACTGATAAGGGTACTACAAAAAAAGGAAATTTATAGGCCAATCTCATCTCTGAACACAGATGATATACTCCTAAGCAAGATAGTGGGAAATCAAATCAGGCAGGTATGAAATGGGTAATAAATACCATCCAAATTATATCTATGTAAGGCATTCAAGTTTGGTTTACCATGTGAAAAATAATCAATGAACAAATGATGTCAAAGAAAATAAAAATATGCTTTTCTCAATAAATAGAGACAAAGTCTTTGAAAATATTCATTCATAATAAAATTTCCTGGTAATCTAGGAAGAAAAGGGGACAAGTATCATTTGCTTATGGGTACTTAGAGAGAAAACAAAACCCAACCCTACAACAAATTTCACACTTAAAGGTAAAATATTCAACTATACCCACTGAGACCAGAAGCAATGCAAAAAATTTCTGCTAGCCACCAAAGTTATTCATCACTATATAGGATGTCCTAGCCAGCTTGATGGGGCCAGATTAAAATATAGAAGGTCTTAAAAATTGGGAAAAAAGAAAAAATTCATTCTTCACAAAAAACATCATTGTGTAGGTAGAAAATCCGAAATAGTCTACAGATATACTTAAATATCAGTATGTGATTTTAGCAAGCTCATTGAATACAAATCAACATAAAATGCATTTGCATTTATACATACTAACAATAATTAGATAATAAAATATAAAAATACTACTTATCATAGCCTCAGAAACATCAAATAATAGGAATTTATTTAATAAGATGATTATAGTAGTTAGGATTCTCCATAGAAACAGAATTAATAAGATATATATGTATATGTATATGTATATATATATATAGGGTGTCCCAAAAATGTACAGTGTATACACACACTTTCAATAATTGTAAAGTCAAAGTTTATTAAAATACATTTCATTTTCAAAATTGAGCTATCAGCTGTTAAAGTGTGTATATATTATTTTGAAATTCCCTGTATATATGACATCTGAAACAACCATTGGCCACAAAATGGCTAATAAATTGAAGTATAGTCAAACAATGGAATGATACACAGTTATGAAAAATACTACACATCACAATATAGAATCTTCTCACAGGAATAATGTTGAGTTTAAGAAGAAAGATGCAAAAGAGTACATGCAATATGATTTCATGTTATATTGTATGACCTGGGGGGTAGTCACATAGAACTGATGATGCTTGTCCATAAAACTATACTTTTTAAGTAAAGTGCAATTTAGCTGATCTTAGTGATTCAACAATTCATGACAGTGTTCTTTTATCCTGATAATTTGCTATGTATAAGCATGTGAATAAATATAGTTTTATATTTAGCCAGCATTTATTTTTTTAATCTAAATTAAACTTCTTTTCCATATTAAGAATCCTTCCAAGTGACAGAAATTTTAAGGAAAGCAAAGGGTTAACATTTACAAAGCTTTGCTGTGGTTTATAACTTATTCTGGCCTATGACTAACTTTCAAAGGCATGTATTTCAAGCAGGGGAGAGGAGCAAAGATCTTCCAAGTAGTTCGTCCTTTAATATAGAAAGAATCTTCAAGAGACAAAGTTAGGAGACAACTTCCTACTCAGCGGGATGAGTGCCATGAAGCTGACTAAGTGGTGACAAATGTAGGTAGATCGTCTTCCCCTTGGCAATGCCATGCTCCCTACACAGAGATTCATTATGTTTCAGGGTGGACATTCAAAGGTGCAACACTGTGAACTTGGTTGCCAGGAGGGAAGCGTGTCTCCATGGGTTCCTCTCATGCTTGGCCATCTGACCAGTTTAGTCTGAAATTTCAGGGCACTGGCTCCTATCAGGGAACAAATAGGATGAGAATGATGACTCAGGGAACAAAGAGACAAGTCTTTGTCTTATTGTCCCTTTTCAAAAAATCCTCAGTGCTCTCTTTCTCACCCACAAATTGCCTTCAAAATAAATATACAATTTCTAAGCCTGGGAGTCAAGGTCCATTCAAGCTGGCTCCATGCTACTTGTAAACATTAACATTGTCTTGTCCTGGTCACCCTGAGCCACCCTGTGCTCCAAGCAGGGGTCCCCTACACACTTTCTTCAATCCATCATACCCTTCTCTGCTCTGGAGCACTTCCTGCTCATGTTGGCTGCCTGAAGCACTCCGCCCTCCCCCTTCTCCACTTCTTGAGGGTAGTGGTTATATATTCCTTGTTTTGTCCACAGAGATGAGCAAAGAGTCAGATATAGACAACTCCCATAGGTTCATAGGTGTGATAGACTTTTAGAGAGATGAAATCTACTTAAAGATATTAAAGAAAACACACTGAGTGGCCAGATTATTATGACTACACCATCAGTACAATGAAGTGAATTAGTCATGCAAATAATCTACACTAACAAAAGAGAAACATGCAAATTGGTCATCACTCTGCTACACCCACCAGCCAATTGGGATGAGTATGCAAATTAACCCAACAAAGATGGTGGGTTAATTTGCATATGCAGGAGCTGAGCGAAGACTATACACTGAAGAGGCTTCGCTTCTCTGCTACGGCCAGAGAGAAGGCCTGGGTCCCAGGTACCAGAGGAAAACCACTGCTGGCAGCCAGGAAGAGGAAGGCCTATTGCATGAATCTCTTCGTGCAACCGGCCTCTACTACTAATAATAAAACCTTGAGAGTATTTTCTTTGGAAGTTTTCAATATTTAGTATTTTTGGAAGTGTCAATGAAGTGCTGATGAGGTGGTCATAATGATCTGGCTGGTCATGCTAATCTGACCACTCAGTGTATATTATAAAGTCTTAAGCAGATGAAATAATATCAAAGTGAATAAAATAAAGAATATCAGTTCTTCTTCTCTATGGACATCCCATAAGGTAGACCAGCCCAGACATTAGTTTTTCTGCCCAGACATTAGTCTAGCTCCAGAGAACTAAAGTTTTTCTCCCCAAAGATGGCATTACATTATGTACTCTGTTCTGCAACTTTAAAAGATTATCTTTCACTTACTATTTCTTGAACCTTTTTCCATGTCAGGACAGATAGATGATTTTTAAAAAATCAGTTGGAGAAAAGCTTTAAACATGTTTTTCTCTGCCCAGAAAAGGCCCTGCAACCTGTACAAGAGGTGCCAGTAGAACGGAGGGAATTGAGTAAAGTAGGATCCAGGGCATTTCTCACTATAGGTCATCTTCCTTGGCGCCTTCCCCATCACTATGGACCTGCTCCCAGAGAGGGACATTCCTAGCCCAGTGCCTCTGTAGGAAGGATCACCTGTAGAAAAGAGAACCAGAGTCAGGATTGGGGTCCTGCTACCTGAAGAAGGAAAATTTCTAGTCAGTGAACACAGCCATGGGCAGAATTGGGGCCTCCTTCTCACCATCATTCCCTTTTGCTTCCTTCCTTCCATAGGCTCAGTGGTTTGTCTTTTGAGAGTTACTTCATAATTACTGTTCCTTTATCCAACCTCTGCTCTGCCAGCATCTCTTATCTCTACCACTTCCAGAGACCTTGCCCTTCATCCTCTCCACCCGCCCCCATGTTCTCTTGGTCCCGAGGATAATTTGGAAGCCATTGGGAACACAAGAGCATGATTCAGCTCTCCCATGACCTGATGACGAACTTTACCTGCTCCCTCAGGTTGCAGTCCCAGGTCAAAGTAGGGATCTGCCCTGAATGTCCCTGATGCGCAGCCAGGATGCACCCCACCTCCTCTGAGCAGCCAGTCCCAGGAGAGAGGACACTACAGGTGGTCGCAAGGGACCATCATGAGGCCAGACGCCCAGCCAGGGAAAAACTAACCCCAAACCGAACCTCCAACCCGGCGCCCTTTATTTCCTTTCTAAAACGTACCGCTCACTCAGTAACGGAAGTCAGCCCACCGCAGCCATGTCGGGACTCCTCCCAGGGCCCCCCACTTTAACTGCAGGGGTTGGACCACGCCCTGGCCCAAAGCACCCGGCACCAAGGTTCTGGGTCTCAGTTGCCCCACGGAGTCGACCTCTGGCGCGATGGTGGCCGTCTGGCTGGTGCCCGTCGGGCAGAAACTGCTGCTCTGGGGCGCGCTCAGCGCCATCACCCTGGTGGGCGCCACCCTCATCCTGAGCTTCCTGCAGATGATGGTGACCTACGCGCGTAACTGGCTGCAAATGAGGCCCATCCCCAGCATTTCGGGCGCCTACCCCTTCCTGGGACACGCGCTGATCCTGAAAGAAGGAGGGACAGGTAAAGGACTGCGCGCCTGGGTTGGCTGCATCCCCACCAAGAGCTGTTGGGCCCCTTGCAGGGAACCGAGGCGCGGGAACAGGTCTTGAGCACCACTCACTTACCCATCTGGAGCAGCAGGACTGGAGCTGCAGGCTGCTGTGTGAGGGGCGACCCTATCACCCCCTGGATAATGGGTTCCCACTTCTCTCCAGTTTTCATTACACATAAGTGCAGTGTTTCTAAACTCCCGTCCTTCTGCCTTTTCTCTTCTCATTTTCCCAACTCCTGGCTGCTGCTATCTGAAAACACCGCCTGTAGCCCTAGCTGGCTTAGCTCAGTGGATGGAGCATTGGCCTGTGGACTGAAGATTAGTGGGTTTGATTCAGGTCAAGGGCATATGCTTGGTTGCAAGCTGGATCCCCAGTGGGTGGCTTGTTGGAAGCAGCTCATCAATGATTCTCTCTCATTGATGTTTCTATCTCTCTCCCTTCCTCTCTGAAATCAATAAAAATATATTTAATAAGAAAAACAACAACAGGAACACCGCCTGGTTTTTCTTCTGTCCTTACTGTTAAAGTCCCAAAGGCTGACACAGCTTATAACGTAGTCTCTCTCTCGCTCTCTCTCTCTCTCTCTCTCTCTCTCTCTCTCCAAAAAAAGGGGGGGCAAGAACTGCACTTGAGACCAGAGCCTCTCCCTGCAGAAATCACAAAACTTGACCACAACTTTCATTCCTCCTTGGCCCTCTAAAGAAGGTTACTAAACAACATGAATTAAGGTGTTTTTCATCAAGGCCTGCCCCAAAAGTCATACAGCAAGTTTCAGAAATCTTATTTGTTAAAGAATGAATTGTTTTTTATTGACATCATCTTTTGAAGAGATAGCTTTATGTTATGTTATGCTATGTTATGATAGGGGTAGAGGGATCACTTTAAGTTAGAAAGCTACTAAAAGTCCCTGATGTTTGCATCCCCTATGAAGGACGGTTAGATCTTAGCCCTTCATCTTCATGGCTGAATAAGTTGAGATACCCAGAACTGAAAAGATTTGCCCCAAATGACATATTTTAAAATGAGCTCAGAACTAGAATCCAATCACCCCTCAGTTTAATTGAAGAAGATTTATAGACTGAACATCAATTCCAAAGCTTATAGGGTTATTTCTTTTCCACTTTCTTTTCTCTAAATAAAAATAGTGCTGTCATTTCAACTTCACAGGAACACATGAGGCCTCATGGGAGAGTGTTACCAAAATACAGAAAATGTTTCTGGCAGAAAATGTTTCTGGCAGAAGAAATCCCAGTAAACTTTTAACCAACCAAATATCAATGCGACTAATGTTGCAATCATCATGGGGAACACTAAGGGCAGAGCTAATCTTCCCTTCTACCCAAAGGCTTTATAATATTAAAAAATAATGGTGTAGAAATATAGACCCCCTCCTCCTCAACAGGAAACCATATACTTAAGAAATCTCATCATAGTCTTTTGGGGAAATTTTTCTAAGAATTGAAATCTGTAATGAATAAGGTCCATTTCAAAACAAACTGTGAGTTATTGGATTATTTTAAGTAATTCTTGCCTTTGCTCCCTTTCTGCTTGTAACCAAATTCCTTGACTTTGACAAGTTGTTTAAAACTCTTTAATTTAGAGTGTGTTACCCTTTACTTATAAACGTCACCATATTACAGTTACTTTGAGGATTACATTTAATGTGTGCATTTTCTAGACCATTGTCCAGAGCTTTGTTTAAGTCCATTTTTTCATTGTCAATCATGCACTTATTTGAGGCCCTCCTTTGTGCCCAGCATTGAGCTCAGCAAAATTGGGCATAGCACAACATTTAAAGGTATATTCCCCATCCTCAACACCCTTGTGTCTTATACAAGAGGCTGTGCCTTTGATTGATTACCAACTTTCCA